TGTTGCAATAGTTATAATTGTACATTTGATGAAAATTATTTTATTTCCTTTTTTTTAAATAATAAAGAAACACATTATTTACTGGCACAGCCAGAATCTATTTAAATATAGAAATTAATTTTTATTTTACTTTTCTTTTAACAATATGTATATTTTTTTTATAAATAAATTTCTCCCCCACCTAATTTACGATTACAGTAAAGTGAGTAATATCATTTTTAAATATATAATAAAAACAAAGTAAGATTTTATTTGTAATTGTAATTAAATATGGACACAAAGTAAGATTTTATTTGTAATTGTAATTAAATATGGACAAAAAATAAAGATTAAACGTCATGCATGTTTAAAATAATAAGAAATTATGTTGTAAATTTGTAATTTGTGATGAAAAATGGCAAAGTCACACGATGCGTTTTGTTTATATTTTTGATGTTTTATATTATTTACTTTTTTTTCCTGTCATGGGTTACTTTATTTGAATATTTACTGATATGATATGTTGTCAAAATGTAATAGCAAATAATTAATTTTTTTAAAAGGTAAAATAAATAAAGATGAAAAATGTAGAAATAGAATTTACAGGGGATGGAAAAAAAGGAAGTTTGGAATATGGAAGGTTATTCAATGGAAGAGATGAAGTTTAGATAGTAAGAGCGAATGATTAATTTTTTTTAAAAAATAATAATTTTAAAAAATAAAATTAAGTTTTTTTATATTTTTAAAGTAAAGTTTATTATTTTATTATTTTTTTTATAAAAAGGATAAATTGAAGATTTTATATATTTTGACTTCAAAATAGACAGGAAAAAAGACTTTTGTTTAACCCAAATATTTAATAGGGCTAATCCAAAGATTTTTCAAAGTAGTATTTCTTAAATAAATTTTTAACTTTAAAGTTGATAAAGACCTTCCATTAGTGCAGGTGCTAATTGGTAATGTAGCTAAAATAATTAATAAAGTTTTGATATTGGGAATTTAAAGTGCAATTACACATGGATAGGGTCTGCAGAGAATTTTTTGGTCTCAATGAATACTATTCTGTCATGATTACGAAAATCAGACATCACGAAGTAACTTATCATGTGAGCCTGCTATATTGAGATTTTCCTAATATCCTCTCGTGTTTCAAGAGTAATCAACAGTTTAGACTCAACCGGCAAAAGAATAAAAAGATTTTTAAAATAAAAATATGACTAATAAATCTTTCCTTTAATTTAAATAAAAATGTTTCAATAAGATGAATAAAAATGTTTATTTTATAAAAATCCTCAATCATAGATGCATCAATATTTGAGCAATTGGATTGTTTAGAAACTACTCTAGGTTTAAAAATTTCAATCCCAAACAAATTAGCAATCTCCTTTACTTTCTCATATTTCATGAAATTTTTATTCACATTCTCTCTAATATTTGTTAATATTTCAACAATATCCTTTGCCTTATTCATAACTGTCCTAGTATGTTATAAACATATATTCTCATTAGACGTCAATCAGATGGATTGTATACATCTGATTGAAGAAAAAAATTATTATTATTTAATGTAAAAAAAAATAATTATTATTAGAATAATATATTTTTTTGAAAATATTTTTTTTTAAATTATTCATTATTAAAGTTTTGAAATTTAAAAAGAAAAATTAATAATTGATTGAATACATTTTTTTTTAAATAAAATAAAGATAATAACGATAATAACCTCCCTTAAATCCAAATCAATTTTTTGTAGCATTTTGCTAAAATCATATGTATACTTAAATAAAAAATAAACACAATAAATAGATGTTAAAAATTGTGGATTAATAATAGCCTGCAAAAGGTTTTCAGAATCTGTTGAATCTTTTCCTTGCTTGAGATATAAAATTCCAGTGCTGCAAATATAACATCATATAGTTCAAAAAAGAGTTTCACCGACTCTTGTCTTTCAATGAATCTAGTCGGACAAAATCTTTTTTTATTTTTTTGATTTTTTAATTCAATGTCATGATAAGCCACTTATATTTTTTTATCCGTGGGAATGTCAAATTTTTCATATTTAATGACACTGGAAATTTATAATTTTATTTTCAATTAGTCTATTTATAATTTCAATACCTATAATATAAATAAATAAAAAAATTGCGCATTAATTCGTCGGCCCGATTTGGGCTTATTTTAAAAACGGTCGATTATGATTTTAGCCAAAATAATATGTAAGATTAAATAGAGGTCCAAACCTTTTTTTTTTATTATTACTTTCACTCTTCTATGCGCAAATTCTCCAAGGTTACATAATATTGGCTATTAATCAACATACCTTATAATTGGTAAATTGGTCCACCAAAGAAATCGGTAAAAATTTGGTTATTAATTTTTTTTGATTTTATTAAATTTTTTATTGAAATAAACATTATTAAGATTTTTGTAAAAAATATAAAGAAATAATTAATAGGACTAACAATCAAAATGACTTCTATTTAATCATCCTTTTTTTAATACTAATAAATTTATAATAGATTGCAGCTGTATTAGATACGCGCCGAATCGTCGTTGCGCCTAATTGACGTCGCGCCGAATTGCCATTGCGTTGAATTTTCCACGCCGAATTGATGTGGAACCTTCCAAAAATATTCTAAATATCCTATTCAAGCTCAATCTTGCCGAATTTATAAACAAATGATATCAAATGTACTTATCTAACATACATTGCTAAAATAAGAAGTTTAATAGTGATGAAATTAAACAAATCCGGCCAGAAAGTTCATATCTAATTCTGAACTAGGATGGTATAGCTGGATGGAATTAATCCTCGGTTAATCAACATAATAATTCATTTTAATCCTCTTTTTTTGTTATCTGTAAGCCCTAAGTGGTCCCAATTAAGAAATTTCTTAACCCTAAGCTGAGTTGCTTGCAGGATTTTACTATCTAACCATAGAAAATGCTATGTTTATATATTTTAAATATTTTTTATTTGAACTATTTGGAATAACATTATTCATCTAGACCCGGAACACCGGATCTGGACCAAGGTCTGTGATTGGGGTTTGTGCTCAGAGCTGGTTTGGTCGATTTTTAGACCCAAACTCCGAATCTGGGTTTTACACAACCAACCAATTAACAACACTATTGGTTAGACGGGCCGGGCCTTATTTTCTTTTTTTTAAATATACCCGTGCCAGATCTGAGCTTTTTTTTCAATACTCGGGCTGAGCCTAAATATTTGCCGAATATTTTAAAACCGAATATTTAAAATAGACATTATTATCTATATAAAAATTAAAAATAAATATAATTTATTTAAAAATAATACGGGTCCGGTCGGGCCAAAATTCTCTCTTAAATCCATGTCGGGGCAGGGAAAATGGTACCTCTGCAGATCTCTCTTTGCCTAGCTGATTATTTGAATATAATTTGTAATCTATTTTTTTTTAATCAGCACGGTCCAAGAGTTCCCATATGTCATAATTTGCATATTCTTATTATGTTTAATTTTTGATTCACTTACGTTTCCTCACACATTGTTTCTGTCATTTTTTTGAGCAAATAAGAAAAATACCTTCTTTCTTCAAACTTTACATTCCACGTTTGTATATTTAAAAAAAAATTAATAATTTTTCTATTTTAATGATTTTAAAAAATTTTTAGGCATTTTCTAAAGGTCTATCCAAGTAATCGATCATATTCAGACTGATATTAATTTATTTAAATAATTAAATCCTAAACATGGAGTATGGAAGACACTATGAAACTTGAAACTCAAGTCTTTGAGTGTATAATATATCTGGCAAACTGTTAGTAATTTTCTTAAAAATGTTATAATTAAATTTTAACGACACCGCTTTAGTTCTATCATGAATAGAACCCTGGATAGAGGCGCGAACCCGACCCAATCCGACTAAATAAATCTCTGTCCAAGATCGACCATAGCACAAATTTTTTGTCCCAGACCGACCCGATAAATTTATTTTGGAATTTGATTTTAAATATTATAATATCTAAGGAAAAAATTTAAAATTATGCACATATTTTATTTATGCATATATATTGTTACTTAAATTAAGTTTATTAATTAGATAGTGCCAAATATATATAGCAATTTTCTAAAATAACAAACCTAATTTTATAAATATAAAACTAAAATTTATTACGCGTTTATTTTTTAATATAATGTATAGGGTCCTATCTACTTGAGTAATAAAAATTAACGTAAATGAATAAATGACATGTAGTGTAAGATCAAAAATAACATGTGATTCTGATGGAATTTTCGCTGAAAAAATTGGATTCTAAGATATAATTTCAGGTCGACGAGAAAAGGTCCCTAATTTCTCAGTCAAGGTACGGTAGCCTTCTAATTATCTTCAACTTAAACTACATAAATACTTTGAAAAAATTTCAAATTTTAATTATTTTTAAACCTTAAAAATTCCGTTTAAAAGCGATATTTATAAAATAAAATTTTAAAGTGTGTAATCAACAGAACAGCAGGACAAGAGTATATGGAGATTAATATAAATAAATATTATTATACTGTAATTTTATTACAAAATCCAATACCATTATTAAATTTAAATACTCTTTTTATTATAAAAAAAATAATATATATAATTAAATATGAAATCTGTTATTATGTTTGTTAAAATTTTATTTATTAATATTTGATATTTTTTGTATATTCTTTTTTACATATTATGCAAATCTAATGTGGTGTTATTTGCTACTCCTGTTGTTTTATTTGTGTAATTTAATTAAATAATTATGATTGTTTTATTTTTGTTCATGAATCATGATGCTATTGATAAGATAATCTTCTTTTCTTGCATATTTTTTTATGGTATTTATAACAATTAATTTAATATAAACATTTTAAAATGTTTACTTTTCACGCTTCATTTAAATGATAAAAAAAGAAAATAAATAAAATAATATTATGTTGGGTTTTTTAAAAATATATATATATTATTATTATTATTTATTTAATTTTTTTTTTCTATTTAATTTTCTTTTTTCCATTATTAAAATTATTATGTTATTTTTATCTTATGAACTTTTAAATTTTAAAGCCGATATTTTATTTTTTTGTAATATTTTGTGGTTCAACAAATTACCTTTCTTTCCATGATTCGTTTTTTTGAGGGGTTTAGGAATGATATTGGTTGACAATATGAAGTCACGCAATAATGGCGATAATGAAGTATCCTTACTACGAGAACAAGAGATCTCCTTCCGCTTGGATACCGTTAATATTTCTTGCAAGAATATAAAGTGTTCTAATTGGCGCAGGCAATCATCGACCGCCTCCATAGATTCGGCCATTAGTCTCGCATCCGCCTTTGAACCAAACGTAGTTCTAAAGAAATGCCAGGAGGCTCACAATGATGATAACGCTGATCTTCATTATGCGCAGACACGAAAAAGGACGTCAAAAATTAGGAAAGCAAATTCGAAAAAAAATGGTAAACCATTATTAAATATAATTTAATTGTTATATTGTGTTTCAAAATACTTTCCCACGCCATATTTAAATGCCTTTTATTTTTTTTTACACATATCTACAAGATATCGTTAATGAAAGGAAAATAACAAATTCTCTAGATAATAACGATTCCGATTCGGGGTTAGGCGCTGACGTCTCGTCTCCCGCGTATATAGATAACCAATCATCGATATGCCTTAGCTTAGAAACAGATTCGATAGTCAAATTTGATCTATCCCCCATCCAGTCAAATTGTAAATTCCCACTATGTTGCTGTAAATATAGTAATTTTAGCGATATTTTCTATTATCAAGACGATTTGAGACAATCGTATCAATATAATCTTCCACCGCAATTTACCACTTACCTCCATGGGGATGATGGCAGTATGCTTACGAATAATAAAGGCAATATTCCAGCTGATTTATCTTTCAACACGTCTCACGATAATAGTGTAGATTTTAAGTACCGATTTTCAAATAACCCTTACCTCAATAATGATAATAAACCGTTTTCAGCAAACCACTTAAATTACATATATAACAAGAAGATTTCTCGGCCTAAATTCGTCTGCCTATGGAAAGATTGCCGTCCAACGCGATCGTTAGATTCTTATCCCCAGAATATACCGATTAACCAATCATATTATTCACATCCCTATCAATTCGAATTTTTTCAAGATTTGGTCGATCACATTCTCGAATCCCACATGGAACCCATAAACCACAAATCTTCCAATAATTTAAATCCCGTAGCTCATCATCAGCCCTTTTTAAAAAGGGTCAAAGAAAAATCGAAACAATCATTGACAGATAAATTATACTACGCCTGTTACTGGTCTAAATGCAAATACTACGCTCAGCCAGTGACCTCCCTTAATTGGATGCGACGACACATCATGTATCACGTTAGCCCCAAGCCTTACAAGTGCATAATAGGGGGGTGCGGGGCGGCTTTCAAATTTTACGTTTCTCTCGAAAAGCATCTCAATTGCAAACATCTAGGAAAACGGAACGATAAATATAATACCGGCAGCAGATTTTTGCCAAATACCTTTGACGATAATTTTTATAACAATAATAATAATAATACGATGATGACAACGCACCTTGAATGTAACAATAAAAGACTCAATAGATGTGAGAGCTTTATCGCTCACCAAAATAATAACGCGGCCTATGACATTGGCGATTCATCACCGAACTTTACAAATTTCCCTAAAGATTCATATCATTACCAAAATTACGGGCCAACATTAGATTCAAATAAAAAGTTTGGCGAGAGCGCTAAAAAAGCGGACAGGGCCAGATTTCAGGAATTTTGGAGGGAAGTTAAAAAGCAGAGAAAACTATTGGGTGTAAAGGTTAGCACGAAGCCGGATATGCAGACTTTAATGGACGTCGAGAATCTGCTGACCTTTTCTAATAACTCTACTCTTTCAGGTATTTAGTTTATTTTTTTTAACGATAAAATTGCGTCACAGTTTTAGGCCATTTTTATTTTTGATATTTCTTATGCAATTTTTTTTTAGAAGATATTTTTTGAGTCAAAATGAAATAATATACAATAAAAGTTTATGAATTTTAATTAAACCTTTTAGGTCGTGTCAACGCTCGGATTTTTTTTTTGAAACTTATTTATATTTAGCCTAGGGTATTCCACCTTTAAGCTTTGAGTGACACCCTATTTTGGCTTGTTTATAAGTTTTTTACATTTAAATAAATATTACTTGTTATTTATATAATTTTTCGGTATAAATAACACAAAGACGCGGCAAATCATAAATGCCCTTTTTCTTTTTAGGCTGTTTAACGGAAACTATATAGGCGGCTCTTATAATGAAAATGTATGAATCAAATTTCGGATTTTGTAACAAAATACAAACTAGAAATAATGTTCTTGCTTTTAGTTTTTATTTCCCCTTCAGTCAGGCATAATTATATTATCTATTTAGCCAAATAATCGTTAATAAATTGAAAGTATTTTACGGTAAGAGAAGATGAAAAACGAAATTTAAGCATAAAAGTTTTTTAACCAATTTTGTAGATTAATAAACTGTTCTAAATATTTGTAAAAAATGTGGTTTGCTTCGGTTCTTACAAATTCGGTATCTGACTTCATTTGACAAAATTGTAAGGTATGTTTTCTGTGGCAAACTGTAAATGAGCAACGGCCACTTAATAAACCCTCAAAAATAAATCGCGTAACATTTTAAGCAATATTATACACATTAATTGCATTTTTGTTAGGGCCCTTAATTAACCTTGTTAAACGGCTAACTCCATATTTTAGCCAGAAAAAATATTGCCTAGGTCTTCGATTGTGCCAATATATGAGCAAAATCTTCAGCCATGCGTAATATTTTTTTTTGGATAAAATATTTGGTCCATATTCATAATGGAAGCCGATCCGACAAGATTTAACAGCTGATCGATTTTTAAAATATGTCTTGCATGATCAATTTTTCTCTTTTAAATATTATCACGAATAGAATTAAAGATAAAATAGGTCTCATAAACTGATTTCAAATCGTATCGGTCTTTAAAAGTGTTCTTTCGAAATTTGATTAAGACTGTCCAAAAACTTCAAAAATTTAATTCGAAAACTTTCAAAACTTTATCGTAAAACACTAAATAAATAACCATTTTTTTTAATCGTTGGAAAATTTTAAAACTTTTGAAAGTCTTCAATTTTTTTAAACAAGTCTTATATTCTGATTACATTTTTAAGATAAAATTAAAATCAAATGAAAACCCAATTTTTTAAAATAAAATATTTTTTAATATCGGATCAGATCGGTAAAAATTGAGGATCATTCTCCCCTAATTTCTTGACTATTTTGTTACTACTTTGCTTTAATGAGTAATTCAACTCAAACTATTTTTGAATTCCACATATACTGAGAAGTTGGAGATGGAATCTCAAAGCACAAAGGGGATAAGGGGCCATAAGAATCTAGCGGCTGATGCCAAAATCATTGATGGACAAAAAAATTTTAAAATATAAAATTAAATATTTTTGGAGCGTCATGATATAATATATTTTTAAATAGTCATTTAAAACTATTAAAGAATAATCATGTGATAATCATAATTTATGGATAAGGCGGAAATGTACCAAATAGATATTTTATTACCTTACAATTTTCTTTAATATTTTTTTTAAATTAAAATATAAAATTATATATTAGTAACCCATAGGCATATCCAGAATTATCCTAAATTAGTGAAGCAGATTTATATCAATTTTTTTACTCATAAATTTTATCGTAGGACTTTGATAGAGAAGTCTACAATAGGTGCTTTTTAACCCGAAAGATCGTCCGCCAATTATTAAAAATATGACCCTTTCGCCCGCTCGTTAATGGTTTTTAAAATTTACCTACACCCCCCCCCCCCTCCACCCAAGAAAATTTTATTTTAATAATATTTACTTAAACATATAAAACATGCAACATTATGGAATAGAATAATAATAATATTTAATAAATATTAGTTATCCAAAGTATGGGCTGATGGGTCTAGAACTTCGCCCTCACTTTTATATGGTCGGTTATATTTTAAAAAAAGGTTAGTGACATGTTTTATTTATTTTTTAGGAGAGGGTGTGGGGAATCTAGCAGGATAATTTTGATTAGATTAACGACAAAATTTTTCCCACATCTTCACTGCACTTGTAGTAACATAATTTTAAAATCCACAGAGCCATATCATCTAATATACGCTTAGTTGTTGTTAAACAGCTTGATTTTTTTTATATAGATGTCCAAACATCTATGAGCAAAATCTTCACGCTTGCATAATATTTTATGGCTTAGATATTGTTTTTTAAAAATCGAGCCGAACAACACTATATATATTTTCCTTTTTGATTTTGAAGTATATTCAAATATGTGAAATATTTTTTATTGATCAGTGCTAAAAAGACAAGATCACATATCCTCTCATATGTACGACCTAATGGCTTCCAAGTTATATCAACACGAAGGGACTAAAAACTGTTTGAAAATATAATTTTTTTTATTATAAAAGTAAAGATTTTTTTTACCTCATTTTTAATCAAACACTAATCATTCCATCCATAAAACACCGAACCACAAGGATTTTAATCTATCGTGCAATCAAAATGGCTTCTTAAAGAGGATCATATAAGAATATCAGTGCCGAATCTCATAACAAAAATGAAAATCATATATGCAATAATTTTTCTCCACTTTTATAATCAAACTTTTTTTGAAATATTGTTTAAAATAAAAACGAAGGAAGAAACAAAATGCTCATCTAATTTATATAAATTGTATTATTTTTGTTATTTAAACTGATTATTTTTTCGAAAAAAATAATATCCTGCTGTCATATTTTAATCATTTTAACCTCACAATATAGTATTAACGAGATCATATCGCGATATTAATATGCGTAGCGACATATTTGGTCCATCTCACCACGGATAACGCAACTAACTATAAATGAGACCTATGTTGATTCGGTTTTTTTTAAAAATGATATCATTTTGTATGATGATTATATACTACCTTAAATGCCTCTCTCGTGCTTATCAGCTTGTAAAAATGAAATTTAGATGGCAAATCCTCTGTAACTTTATAAAAAAAATAACCCATTCTACCTCAATATTTTCATAAAAAAACTATTATATTACATAATTTTATATAACTATTTATTGTACCATTTTTATTTTATCGCCAAAATCCTTTTTGTGGTTTTATGGCTTTATTACAATTGATTTTTAGATTAAAATCCATTTTTAAAATGACTTCTTCGCACATGCCATATCGAATTTCGATATTACTTTAAAAAAATAATTAAAAAAAATCTTCCATATTTTTTGCTGCTGATAGATAAAAATAAAAAAAAAGGAAGCTTTCTTTTTATGTATTTATACGCTTCTCCTTTCGCATAAATTATAAGACAAATTTTTTTTTTCTTCTTGATTGCAAAATATAGATATTTATTTTATTTTTTTATTACCCATCATTCTCGCATTTTATGCTTTTTTATATAAATTTTTTTAAAATTAATTAATTGGTCCAACATGGTAAAAATGCTTCCAATTATCAATTCGCTATTTATTTTTATTTTTTTGATATACACTGTTAATTTACTTACTGTAATATATATATTATATATATCAATATATAATATATAGATATACTGACTAATTAGGAACAAAATTTATTGCTAAACTTCTTATTTTTTTAAGTCACCTTTTACATCAAAGAATTTATAATTACATGCATGTATTTTTTTAAAAAAATATGAAATTCCTATTTTAAGAGGAAGTGATTTTTTTTATAACCTCTTTTATTTTATCATAAATTAAACATATGAATAAACCTATACTCATCAAAAAGCATTTATATACTTTGTATAATAATTTTTTTTTTTTTAAATAATAAATTATGCATTTAGATTTATAATAATTTTTTTGATAAATTTATACATTTATTATTAATAATTGTGGTATAATAATTATAATTATCTATTATAATAATGTCTAAAATATTTGTAACATACAAGAATTAATGGTCATTTCAATAAGAAAATTAGTTTTTTTTTGTTCTATTATAAAAATAAATAAAATAGTTTTATATGTATATATTTTTTTATAAAATCTGCCAATTGTCAAACTACGAATAAAAATTGTATTTGGCAGATAGTTAGTTTAGGTATAATTAGGTTTAAATATTTTTAGTTTACTATTTTTTTTCCCCATAATTTTAAAAACAAAAATATCTTTAATTATAAATCATTTTTGTAACGATAATCTGGCAGCAATTATTATGTGGTGTGTACCTTATTTTTAAAACACTTTTTTTTATAATATATATTTAACAGGTTATTATTTTTATTTATTAAAGAAAAATAATGATTTATGATTTATACTTCAATTAAATAATATAATACTTTAGCTAACTACTTTAAAATTTTTGAAGCATCGGGCACAAAATTTTATAACATTATTTATTATGGGAAACCAAACTAGCTCGCCCCACCCATCGATATTTGAATGAATGAATTAGCCAGTTAGGTAGTATTTATATGTCGTGATTGACCTTTTTATGATATATTTAAACAACTTTACGATATTATATTTATATATATATTTTATTGGCTTCAATTCGTGAAACAAATATTTTTGGACATCCATTTGTGATTTAAGAAGTGTAACGTGCGATGTACGACGCATAGTGTTAGGATAAAATTAAAATAATTGTGTATTGATTATTTAACCATTTTTGTGAAATTAACGTAAGAAACTGAAAGTTGGTTAGCCATAATTGTCTTAAATTTTTTTTTCCAACTATTATAATATCTAAAAAGTCATTTTATGGATTATATTATAATATGAATCAGTCATTCAAAGACTAGGTTCTTTAATTTTGTATATTATGTATGTAACAAAAAGGCTTTCACTTTGTATACTGGACAAAATTTGATTTTTAAGGTGGGCTAAAGGCAATATTGGATTATATAATTACATAAATATGATATGACTAACGTCAAAAAATTTTAGAAATATTTAAATACTTAAATTAGGTTACCAAATAATGTTTTGGACACCAATCTTTGATAACATTTTGATATTGAATAATCGTTATAAAATTTACAAAAAATAAAAGATGAAAAATAAATATAAATTTTATTTAAAATTATAAAATATATAAAAAAAAGGAAGGAAGACGATTTTTTTTAAAAATTTAAAAAAAAATATTTTGGGGATTACACTTATTATATTTTATTTTACACAATTTATTTTTTTAATAAATATAAATGAGATAAAAATGTGGGTTATTCAACCCATCTTCCAAATATCCAATAATTATTTTTAGGCTCCAAATTTTTATTTTTAAAAAAAAAATGAATGTATTTATTTCAATGAAGTGCTATGTGTTGAGGTGTAATTGATTAATAGGGTAAAAATTAATTAATATTTTATAATTTATATTAATGAGATGTTTGATTATTGTGAAAATAATAATAATAAAAATCATGAAGTTTATTTATTAAAAAATAGGTGTAGTGTATTATATTATAATTATAATGCTTGAAAGGAGAAGGTAAATAAGTTGCCTGTTAGTGTTAATATAAAATTTAAATACATAAATAATTTTATAATTTTTAAATCGAATTTAGGAGAAAGAGGGGGTGAGGGGTAGATGTATTGAGAATTGATTTAAAAAATTAGTTCCTCATTATCTACTAAAGTGAAAGTAAAAAAAATGCATAGGTAAATCATAGTCCCGAGGAAAAGTATAAGAACGGTAGTAATATTTTTCATTAAATTGCCCAAATTAAGAAATATATTGTAAGAATCAAATTTAATAATTATAGAGTTTAATTGTGGCGGCACACACGTTTGATACCTACTTTATTTTATTAAGTTAGATTTAATCAAAAATAAGTAATTATAATCATTTTTCATAGACCGGTTTATTATAATTAAATTTCAAATCCAAAAATAGAATATAGGAAATAGGAATTTCCATAAAATTTATATGATCCATATTTTTCGTTTTTGCTTGCTATTTATTGGAGATATACAAGAGCGCGAATAATAAAATCATTCTTTCGAAAAGTTGCTTTTATAATATATTGGTAATCTAGATGGAAGCACCCAGCGTCACATGGGCAGGGGAGGGATAGGTGCTATTTTCTTTCAATTTATTTAAGACGCTATGGGTAAGATAAATAGGGGGTTATATCTTAATTTTTAGAAGAAATTGGGCATAAATATTGATGTAAAAATTTAACTACTTTTATAATAGTTTTAAATTTATAAGTAATAATTTTGATATACAGTATTTGATTATTTTTTCTTAAATAAATTTTTAATTATTTTGCAAAAAACTTGTAGAGTTTGTCATATTCCTTTTATAAAAAAACTATTTTGTCAATTTCATTATAAAGAAATAATCATTAATTTCTTTTTATTTCAACATATATCAGGCACATATATGCCTCAAGTATATTTGATTACCTTTATGCATAAAAGTATCAAAGTTACAACTTCATCGTGTCTCATATTTTAAAAGAAGATAGGTTTTTTTGTAATGATAATAATAATTTTAGATATTTCATTTACTTAATTTTTTAAAATTTCTTTTGAGCTTCTAGAATCCTCGTTCTATCAAGTATCTTGGTATGAATTTTTGTAGTTTGTGGGCAGGTCCTCCAGAAAATGAATCTAGATACAGATACAGGTTCTTTAAGTGAATTAGATACAGATGCTAGTATCTTTTTCAAATTATCAAAAAGATACAAGATTAAAGATACTTGTATCTTTTACTAAATTAGAGTATCTTAAATACAAGATACTTTTAAATTATCATTACCAATTAAATTAGAATAGGTTATAGAATAAAGTTTTTATTATTTATTGGTGAAGAACATAGCATACACATATAAGAATAAATATTTGCAACAATTAATTAAATATTTATTAATGAATTAATTATAATAACCTTAATATTAGTTTTTGCCCATTAATAGCTTAAACAGGGAAGGGAGAGTAGAATATTTAATGGGAGCTTAAAATTTGCAAATAAGAAAAAAAATTAAATCAAATGATTTATTAGAATTTGCAGGTTTTTTTCTGTGTTGTTTTAAATATAGCTTATATTCAAATGGCTAAATGGCATCTCCAAAAAATATATACTAGTTTTATTTTATTCATTATCTTTGATAAGTATTTATCTTTACCAGGGTTCAGCAGTATCGCGGATATTTGTATCTAAGATAATACTTTTGTATCTTGGATCTTTTTTAAAATTTGGAAAAGTATCTTGTATCCAGTATCTAAGATACATATTATTTAAAAGTATTTGTATCTTAACCAACTTTGTATTCAAAAAGATACAGATACTTTAAAAAAAATTTATATTGGTTAATTTAAATAGTATTAAAATTTAAAATGATATTGTTTTAAGATTTAAATGAAAAATTTAATCAAAATTTAAATATTTTAAGATAATTTTTGATATATGACGTTGGTCGTCATATAGCAATTTGCTAACAATTAGAACTATATATTTGAATCGTTTTATATCTGTCTATTTTAAAATTATGGAAGAAGAAAATAGAATAATATGTTTATCTTCGTCTTCAGATGGTTCTTCAACCGAAAATTATAACAATAAATTTAAACTAAGCATACTTAATGGCAAATTTTTTAAAGTACTTCAAGATGACATAATAAAGAAATTCATCG